TTATTATTACATAAAGAGTATATAACAAGCTACTAGTATAACTTTAGTTATTGTCTATTTTAAGTAGTCTACTACATAGATATTAGGCCATCTAATTAGTTTTATACTATACTGCTATATTTATAACTTGCCTGTGAGTTATCTATTTAAATACTCTGTTTATTAACTTATACAATTCTAACCTAATGTTACTGCAATATCTAACTACTTAAGCTAGCTAGCTTATTACAGATTCATTTATTCAGAATAGCTTAAGTCTACTCAGAATATATTATATCAGATATATTACTAGTATTGCAAAGCTAGTTAATCTTGAAGCAAATCTACTAGAGAAGTCTATACTCATTTTACAAATTTTCTAGCTTAGACGCTTGTAGATATTTGTATAACTTTAGATTTTACTATAGTTCTTTACTGATCAGTTGATCTAATCCTTTTTTTAGTATCTAGCTAGTCCTTGTTATCCTTCATCCAAAGGCTTCAAAACCTTCTAACTTTATTAGACTAAGTTTTCTTTATAGATTAGACTTTAGCTAATATAGTTCTGTTAGAAGGCTATACTACTTTACTAACTTAAAATTTATACTATGCAAATCCTTTACTTGTATATCCTTTTAAGATTTATTCATATAAAGTTATACTGAACTTTCAAGTTCTGATCCATTTAGTACAACTCAATTTATAGTAGTACACCCCTAGAAATAAATAGATTTACTGTAATATATTACAAGGTTTAGGAAATTATTTAAATTCATCAACAGTAGGATTTGAACTCTAGATCTATTGTATAGTAGTCTGATAATCTAACTACTATACTAGATTACTAAACCTTAATTATAAATTTTTAATAAGTATTTGAAGCAAAATAAATATTATAAAATTAAATCAATATATATTAGAAAATAAATTTATACAATTAGAATTAGTTATAAATAAAAATTAGTAGGTTTTAAGAATTATATAAATAAATTTTATATCTTGAGTGATCTTGCTTATCATTTTATTAAAAGAAAGCTTATAATAAGCTACAAAACAATTTAATATAAAAATTAAACTAATTTGTTTTCTCTAAATTATTCTAGACTAACTCAGCTACCTCAAGAGTACTTAAGTTTGATTTGCTGCAAGAGCTATTTTCTCACAAAAATCTTAGTCTATATATACAGATACCTAGAATTCAGTTAGCAAAGGCAATTCCTAGCTATATATCAAGATTCTAAATCTCTTTCTACCTAGTTGAAACTAAGTAAAGAGAAGTTATTACCTAGTCTCAAAATATAAAAAAGACAAAAATTATATAAACCTAAGTAGTTATAGTTTATAATAAAATCTATACTAGAAAAATCTGTCATAGGTAAAGAAAACTAGCATAGAACAAAAAACAGAAAAAGAAAAAAAGATAACCAAGTACTCTATAATCTGAGTTTTGCTTAAAAATTTTAAATTATGTAACTTAAAACCTATCTTAAGTAATTCTCTTCTAATGTAAAGTCTATCTTAAAAATTTAAAACCTATAATATCAAGATTATATTATAGAATAAACAATAAACAAAGCATATGACTTTGTTTACTGTATGAGGTTGCATATCTACAGAGTATTTCTGAAAATAGAAGGAGTAAACAATACTAATTTTTTGTAAAATGAAACCTAAATTCCCTACTTTTGTCAAAAAAAAAAGAAAACTAGAAAAAACAAGCTTGTAGTAGAATATTGTTTTCTGAGACCTAAAGAAGTGTGTAGACAAAAAAGTTTATTGTCCTCTATTTTTAAGTCTTCTTTTACTAACTTCATTAACAAAGAGCTCTTTTTTATCTCTTTACTAAAATTTTTTATTTAAGGACTTTACCTGCTAGTTATCTTGTATAATATTGCTTTTAGCTTACATGTTAAATATACAAAGGAGTCTTTGATAGCAAGCCTAGTTGACTTCTATAAAAACTATTGTGTTGTAAAATAACTTTCTTTATTATCCACAATAAAATTTTTATTTTTTGCTTTTTTGAAATTTTAGAAAAAAAGATTATTAGAAAGAGTTATATAGAATTATGTAAATAAACAAATTATTTATTTTGGTTTCAATATTAGAAAATATTAGATTATAATTAAATTTTAATATAATTTTAGCATTTAATTTATAAAGCTATAAAATTTTAATTAAAAAATAAAGTATTTAAATAATTAACAAATAAAAGATACAAACTAAGTTGATTACAACTTAAACCAAAACAATACTCTACTTGAATTAGATACTAATAACTCTCTTGAAATACACTGATACAAAATTCAAACAAATATTATTTTTGCTGCTATTAAAATAATACTTAACAAAAAAATTAAATTTCAAAACTTCTACTACACCCATTCACCAAAAGCTATATAACTTTACTAAGCACTAAAATTAACAGAACAAATTATTCATCAAATTAAACATATATTCAATAACAACTTTCTAACTCTGACTAATATCCTATTTTTAATTAACAAAATTAACTAACAACAAAATCTTAATATTGACAACCTCTTCTCAAACAACAATAAAATTTTAATATAGCTTAATAATATTTATACATATTGGAAAACTTTATACAAAGCTTAGAAAACAGAAAACTATATATATATCTGTCAACAAATTAATATAGCAACTGAAAAAAGATGCTTAGCTCTTCAAACATAGCCTATAAGGATGATTAACAGCATTCTAAATAGGCATACTAATAAAGTCTCTTTCTAGAACTTCAAAACAGATACAGATTTAATTACTGACTCTAATCTTATTAAAAAAAAATCAAAGACTACTTTAATTAATAAACTGAATACAAACTTATTAATCAACAAATCTTTGATTTAACTTAGAAAAACTACTACAATCTATCTTTCTAATCAATCCTTCTTATTATAACAATATTCTAAATACTATTATAATAGAAGAAATTACTCAAACTCTTAAAAATCTTCGTAATAACAAAGCATATTGTTTATTAGGTATTAGCTACAAGATATTTAAACATGCAGGCAATCTATTTTTGCAAATAGTCACAATTTTACTTAATAGATGCTTAATATTCTAAACTATTCCCAAATGATGGAAAGTATATTACATCTTTCCTTTTTTTTTATTTTTAAGATAGCTTATATTACTGGGCGATTTTTATTAGTTTGATATATGAGATTATACATAGATAATCCCTATAGTTTGTAATTACATAAAGAGTATATAACAAGTTATTCATACAACTTTAGTCATTATCTAATTTAAGTAGTCAACTGCATAGGCGATAGACTACTTAATTAGTTCTATACTATGCTACTATATCTGTAACCTACCTGTAAGTTACCTATTTAAACACTCTGTTCAACTAATCTATACTATTACAAACTAATGTCACTATAACATCTAATCATTTAAACTAGCTAGCTTGTTACAGATTCATTTTTGACTCTAGCTTAGGTCTTCTCAGAATGCTTATTACTCAATATATTGTAAGACTACAGAGCTTTGGTTTACCTCAAAGCAAACCTACTAGAGCAGTCTGTGCCAATTTCATGAATTCATTTAGCTTAGACCCTTATAGATGTTCATACAACTCCAGTTCCTACTGTAGCTCTGCACTAGTTTTCTGTTTGCTGATTTTTTCAGATATTTCATGAAGTAGATCCTCTCAATTCAGTTAGCTGCTAAGCTAGACTGGTGTTGCTGATTCTTCTTGTGGAACAAACTTACTCACACCTTTCTTGATTTACATTTTCAGAATATAGTTTCTTTTCTGAATAAGCATTAGCTAGTATGACTATCAAAAGCTGTACTACTTCATCTACTTAGAATTTCTACTATGCAGGTCCTCTGTCTATAGATCCTATCAAGATTTATTCATATAATGTTATATCTCTCTAAACACCTCATCATACTTCTAATATCTGAATGATATTGATATAATGTAATTTACAGAGTTACAACTCTAGAAACAGATAGAGTTTACTGTAAGTTAGATACAAAGGTCTAGGTAATTATTCAAATTTGTCGACAATGAGATTTGAATTCTAGACCTCTTGCATAGTAGTCTGGCAATCTAACTACTACACTAAGATCACCAGACCTATTACATCTTTCCAATTTCAAAGAAACTAGTATTTGATAGTAACTTATATAATACTAGACCAATTAGCTTCATTAAACATATCAAAAAACTCTATACAAAAATTCTTACAAATTAGTCTAATATTTCTTTAATATCTAAACAAATCTTATCACTACTTAACTATATTGCTTTCTCAGAAAACAGTATCTCTACTCTGATTTATATTCTCAATAATATTATTAAAGATTCATACTGCAATAACAAAAAACTTTGGCTACTATCATAGGATATAAGCAAAGCTTATGTTTTAGTTAATATAAACTTACTTTAAAGAGTACTTGAAAAAATTCAACTTCTACCTCAACTTACTCATATTATATTTGACCTGCTTTTAAACTGCTCTAGCAAAATTATTACTAATTTTAAACTTACACAATCTTATACAGTTAAAAATAGAATTAATTAAGAAGAGACAATTATATCTCTTCTATAGTATATCTATTATAACTCTCTAATAACTCAAATTGCTAAAATATACAAAGATTACAACCTAAAAGTTTCATAAACTACAGATCTCAAAACAAAAATACCTAAGAAACTTTAAGTATTAATATCTGTTCTTTTATTTATAGATGATATACTATAGATAGCTTTCTTAAAAAATGAACTTAAACAAATCTTTGAGTTAGCTTCATCCTTTTTCTCAATAGCTAATTTAAAAATTAATCTATTTAAGTCTATTCTTAGTACTAACTCAAAAAATCTATTATCTATTAAATTTATCTAACAAACAATTACTCTATAATCTAAAAATATTCTTTTTAAATTTTTAGAATATTGGTTTCTACTAAGCTACTAACAAACTCAACAAGTCAAACTTATTACTCAAGAATCTCAAAATCTAATTAACTTTACAAAAATTTTAAATTTTAAGATATGCAATTATTTGCCAATAATAATCATTATAAAGTACTTTATAAGCTTTTAAAGTAATAAATTAGGAATTGAATTCTAAATTAGTAAAATATTAGTAATATTTTAGATATTATAAATAGCAAAAAATTAGTATTTTAAAAACTAATCAATTAGGTATTAAAAATGTAATATTATTGTATTATTTATGGCTAATATAATTATTTTATTTGCAATATTATATATTATTCATTCAATCTTAGATATTACTTAATAATTATATATTTTTTATATACAAATTATTAAAATATTAGTAAAATGTTACCTATTAATTACCAAAAATTTAGTTTTTTAAATTCAATAAATTATGTAATAAAAATCAATTTATAAATATAATATAATATATTTATTAGCATAATATAATAAATATTTAATTTATAAAAACATATATATGAATATTTATGCTAATTAATATAAAGAACTATATAATTATTATATTAATTTAAATTTTCTTTTTCTTCTTTAAGTTCTAACTAATTTGCATATTGATAATAACTTGCAGCAAGAAATGTAAAATTAATTGTAATATTATCCAATTCTTTAATACAATTTAAAACTATTGAAGTATAATTAGGACTTTTTCCATTAGATTCAGCTATCAAATATTCAACATGTATTTGAAGACTTTTGGCTACAAAAGTCTTTAACACATTAACTTCAACTTGATTGTCTTGAAAACTATTGTAATCAAATATATCAATATATTGTTTTAGAGGTTTTTTCTATACTGATCCTGAAATGAAAAGTTTGATTTCATTAAAACTTAGATTTCTGTAATTAATTAATTTTAAATATTAGATTTTGTAGTTTTTTTAATATATAATAAATAAAATAAAAAAAAATAATCCTTACCTTTTTTTTCAAATTAATTAACTTGCTAATTTAGCAATTTCATTATTATAAGTACTACAAAAATTTTCAAATGATTGCTGTAATTTAGATGAAACTTCATTCCACTTTGGATATGTATTAACTATATTAGAATAACAGTTTTTATTAATATAGTATGAGTTCTTTTAGTTGGTACTCTAGTTCACAAAAATAAAATATGAGATTGTTTAGCAAAGAGCTTTGCCAAATTAGGTGTATCAGTATCACTTGAAGAATTCTATTATTTATTGATATAAAAATTATAATTATAAAATTTATAATTTTATACTATATAAAGTAATAAAGTAAATAATTATAACTAACCTTGTTAGATGATATATTATTATTATTATTATTATTATTATTTAAATTTAATGCCTGTAATGCTAAATCCTTATATATTTCTAACCATTGAAGAAGTTGTGTTTCATCTTGAAAAAAGAAACTATTTTTTGATTTACTAGATGAATGAGAATTAATATAATTTGTATTTGGCATATTTAAAAGAGAATGTAATAGTTCTTTAGAAATCACAGGGTTAAGATATTCATCTTCTGAAGATTTATCTTCATTATCAGCAGATAGAAAATAAGAGTATTTATTAGATTGTTTAAAAAAATGATCTTTTGAAGCTTGTTGTTTTTTAATATTAATTTGTTGATAATGCTCAATATAGTTATTAGGTTCAATTGATTCAATTGAAGGTGAGTATTGTCGATAAATGGAAGGTGAGCATTGTTGTTGATAAATTAAAGATGAGTGTTGTTGTTGATAGATTAAAAATGAGTATTGTTGTTAATAGATTGAAGATGAGTATTGTTGTTGATGAATTGAAGATGAGCATTGTTGTTGATAGATTGAAGGTAAGCATTGTTATTGATGGATTGAAGGTAAGCATTGTTGTTGATAGATTGAAGGTAAGCATTGTTATTAATAGATTGAAGATAAGTGTTGTCGATGAGATAAAGGTGAATGTTGTCAATGAAATAAAGGTGAGTGTGAGTATAGTCAATGAGATAAAAGTGAGTTATTTTGTAATAGCACTTTATATTAGTATCTAGTAACATTTGTTAATGTTGAAGATTTGATACTAGTTGCAGATATTGAAGATTCAATACTATTATTTTGAAGTAGTTCTTGTAACTCTTGTGCTTCTAAATTAATATTATTATTTTGAAGTGGTTCTTGTAATTCTTGTGCCTCTAGATTATTATTATTATTTTGAAGTAGTTCTTATAACTCTTGTGCCTCTAGATTAATATTATTATTTTGAAGTAGTTCTTGTAACTCTTGTGCCTCTAGATTAACATTAATATTTTCTTTTAAAAAATAAAAAAATTAATATTATTTTTTATTATAAATATAAGAAACTATTTTGTTTTATTAAAAATAAAAAACTATTATTATATCTTTAATCTTTGTTTGACGTGTTGTTCATTGTCTTTTTGTTTTTAAAATATTCTGTTCTTATATAACCTTTGCTTTTGTGCTTCTTGCTACATCTTTAGCTACAAAAGAGAAGTTTTCAAGTTAATAGTCAATATAGTCTATTATGTAAAAATAAAATATCAATATTTACAAGAGTTTGACTTTTATGCTATTTTTGGTATAAAGATTCAAAGATTCTAAAGAGAAGATAACTAAAAAAGTCAAGTTATTTATATTTAATCAATATGCAATCAAAATTAATGCAAAATTTTATCTTACTAGTAGAATATGATCAATTTTAATATATTTACTATATAATGTATGATTATAACTATTTAATTATGTGATTATCTAATTTAATATATTTACTATACAATGCTATAATTATAACTATTTAATTATACGATTATCTAATTTAATTTCATGACTATGCATAATTAATTTATAGTAATACAGTATAAAATTACTAAATTTTTAAATATATGTATTCTAAGTTGTTAAATTAAAAGAATAGAGCAGTTGAAGTATTAAAAAGTAAATCAATATGAATACTAAAAAAGTTTTCTGCAAAAAAAGACAGTATCATAATATACTAAATTAATCAGAAAATATATTTTGTTTTTACAAAATATTATTTAAAGCAAAATTATAAAGTGTATAGAAAGGTAATTGATTTTTTTTTTTTTTTTTTTTGTCTTTCAACTATTATCTAAAAAAATTATTATTAGTATTTTATTTATTATATAGTATATTAATATTAATAAAATTACCTTTGATTTGGTTAATAAAAGCTATCTATTCTTCCTTGCAAAAGTTTTAAACCAAGTTATCATTACATTATCGACTAAGTCCAAAGTAGTCTAATTGTTATTTAATGTTTTAAATAATTGCATTAATTTTGGGCCTGCTATGGTAAATGTATTGAGTTTTCTTAATGCAATTTTACCAGAAAATCCAGAAATATTTATTAAAATATCATCTGATTCTATACTTCTTTTTCTCTTTTTTTTATAGGCTATATGTTTAATATTGAACAGGTTGAATTTCATTGAGTTTATTTCAAAGAGTTGATCAATTGAGGTTTTATCAGTCAAAAGTAAATGCACTTGTATTGCTAATTTCATGCCTTTAGATCTAGTAGCAAAGTTTAAAACCCATTCCTTCAAGAAGGTATAGGCTTCTTCAAATTCATATAAAAATCTTAAAGACATGCATCTTGTTACCTCTGAATGATATGAACTAATATCAACCTTATAAATTGATTAGTAACATATTTTTATGAGTGTTGAGAATATTGATATTTGGTTAGATACTTCAGTATTATAATTTAAAAAATGATTAATACTAAGACTAGATAGTAGTCCTAGTACCTTTTTAATAATAAGATTTCATCTTATTTATTTCTAGCTTCTTCTATTAACGGAAGTATTTCCTGTTCTTCTATTAACAGAGTTACTTCTTGTTCTTGAAATAGATTCAGTTTGAGAGCTCCATAGATTAATGAGGTGTTGAATTGAACTGAATAGGTAGAGTTTCTTTGTCGGATATTATTTTCAGAAAATCTATTATGTTCCTGTAGTACTTTATTTTTTGGACTCCAGAATTGGAGTCAAAAAATGGAGTTACTACAGGCAATTTACTTTGCAAAAAAAGAAATTCATGATATAAATTAGCTGTTTTAAGCTTATTACTATTTAAAAGTTCATTTTTTTGAGAATTTTCATATTCAGCATAAAAACCTAAAGTGTCTGTTAGATTAATATTGTCTTGGTTTGTACGTATGAATTTTGGCTATTTGAGATTATTGACCACTTCTTTAATTATCTTATAATTTGCTAGTTCGAGAGTGATTTATCTATTTTCATTCTTTAATACTACTTTTTCTTTTTCAGGAAATACTTCGATCTTTTTCAAATTAGATTCAAGTGCTACTGCTTTTAGTACTAAACTACAATTTACAATGTTCAAATTAAATTCTTTTGCTATTCATTGAAATCTTATAGACTCAAAACTGCATAGTGATAAAATTTGTTTCGCGATTTTAATCATTAATTCTAAAAAAAAAAAATTGTATATTAATTAATTAATTTTTTTAATTAATTTTTTTAATTAATTAAATTTTTTAAATTTTTTTTTTTAGCATGCTATATAATAGTAACATAATGCAATATATATACTTACTGTTCTTATACTATTCAGATGAACAGATTCAGCTAATTTGATTTACGAGAGATATGGTTATAATTATATATTTGGATAAAACTAAAAGATCCTTTAATTTTCAAATTGTAGAATCAAGTAAAGATATGAAAGATCTTAAAAGTGAGACAGCTAATAAACTAGATATAGTACTTGAGGTTAGTGAAGTGTCTAGTCAAAGAAATAACAAATATAAGGTCAAATTTAATGAACTAAAAGTGCTATTGAATGAAAGTATAAATTAATTAATATAATATACTATACTGTTTATATTTGCTAATATAACTAATTCATTTGTTATTAAAAAGATGAAATTGAGCAGAATTTAGATGATGATAATAATCAAAATTCAGAGAAGAAGGACAGTGAAAAAAGTAATGATAAAGAAGAAGATGCTAATATAATAGAGAATAACTACAAAAAAGAAGTTGATGAAATATACAAAGGAAAGATAGACTATAAAGCTGAAGAGGAAGTCAATAAAATATATAGAGGAGATATTAAAAGGGCAGATCAGATAGATAGAGCAGAATTTGATGAGATAGAAGATAAAGAAACTAGTGTCATAGAAAAAAGGAGAAAGAAAAAATGTAAATATGAAATATCAAGAAATAGTGGTATGAATATAATAAATAAATAAATAAAAAAATTAAAAAAAATTAAAAAAAATTAAAAAAAAAATTAATTAAAAAAATTAATTAAAAAAATTAATTAATTAATATACAATTTTTTTTTTTTAGAATTAATGATTAAAACCGCGAAACAAATTTTATCACCATGCAGTTTTAAGTCTACAAGATTTCAATGAATAGCAAAAGAATTTAATTTGAATATTGTAAATTGTAGTTTAGCACTAAGTGCAGTAGCACTCAGATCCAATTTGAAAAAGATCGAAGTATTTCCTGAAAAAGGAAAAGCAGTATTAAAGAATTAAAATAGACAAATCACTCTTGAACCAGCAAATTATAAAGTAATTAAAAAAGTGGTCAAAAATCTCGAATAGCCAAAATTCATACGTACAAACTGGGACGATGTTAATCTGACAGACACTTTGGGTTTTATGCTGAATATGAAAATTCCCAAAAAAATAGACTTTTAAATAGTAATAAGCTCAAAACAGCTAATTTATATCATGAGTTTCTTTTTTTGCAAAGTGGATTGCCTGTAGTAGCTCCATTTTTTGACTCCAATTCTGGGGTCTAAAAAATAGAGTATTACAGGAACATAATGGATTTTCTGAAAATAGTAATTCAACAAAGAAACTCTATCTATCCAGTCCAATTCAATACCTCATTAATCTGTGGAGCCCTCAAACTGAATCTATTCCAAGAACAAGAAGTAACTTCATTAATAGAAGAACAGAAAATACCTTCATTAATAGAAAAAGCTGGAAATATACAAGATGAAATCTTATTATTAAGAAAGGTACCAGGACTACCATCTAGTCTTAGTGTTAATCATTTTTTAAATTATAATACTGAAGTATCTAACCAAATATCAATATTCTCAACACTCATGACAATGTGTTACTAATCAATTCATAAGGTTGATATTAGTTCATATCATTCGGAGGTGACAAGATGCATGTCCTTAAGATTCTTATACGAATTTGAAGAAGCCTATACCTTCTTGAAGGGATAGGTTTTAAACTTTGCCACTAGATCTAAAGGCATAAAATCGGCAATGCAAGTGTGTTCACTTTTAACTAGTAAAACCTTAATTGATCAACTCTTTGAAATAAACTTAACGAAATCTGACCTGTTCAATATTAAACATATAGCCTATGAAAAAAAGAGAAAAAGAAGTATAGAATCAGATGACATTTTAATAAATATTCCTGGATTTTCCGATACAATTGTATTAAGAAAACTCAATACATTTACCATAGCAGGCCCAAGATTAATGCAATTATTTAAACCATTAAATAACAATTGGACTACTTTAGACTTAGTTGATAATGTAACGATAACTTGGCTTAAGAACTTTCGCAAGGAAGAATGGACAGCTTTTATTAACCAAATCAAAGGTAATTTTATTAATATTAATATACTGTATAATAAATAAAATACTAATAATAATT